TCCACCACATTAACGAGCTCGATCTCGTACTCCAGGGAAGACCCCGGAGGCACATTATCTCGACCTTGATCTCCGAATGCCAGCTCTGGGGCGATGTAGAACCTTGAGATCTCGCCCTTGCTCATGCTCATGACCTCAACGCTGAGGTGCACTGCGGATCCCAGTTGAACTGGTCAACGACACGACAAGAAATCAGATGAGGTGCTGACTCCTCCAGCCCTCGCATGACCTCGCCATGCCCAATTCGGAACTTCAGAGGTCCGGTGTCATCTTCTCTCGTAGTCTCGAAAATGTCTCCATCAACAACTCTCGCCGTGAAGTGAATGGTGACCTCGGTCTGAGCTGGAGGACCCACAAGCTTGCTCAAACGAATGCAGCGATGGGCAGCGATGGGCTAGCAGCTAGCAGGAATTGAGCCAGGATGAGCCATGCAACTTTATCTCCGAGCATTGGACGAACGACTCTGGACTGCCGCGGAGACGGAGTCAGGATCTGCTTCAACAACCTGTCCAAAGTGCCCCTCAACAACTGCCACAACGACATTAACATCTCCTGGGCAGGTGCGTTCGACGTCTCTTGGCAAAAAGAGCATTGTGCTGCCACGACACGTGTCATCGTCCAAAACATCTATTGCCCAGCCCTCTTCGGCGTCTCGCTCATCTCGCTCGTAGTATTCCTTCTCACCATCACGTGGATGAGCACTCTCTCCACCCGACCTTTTTCTGCAGCCCTTCAGCACTGGCCTGCCACTGCTTTTCAAGGTCCGCTTCTGCTTCGCCGGACGCAGGCTTCGCTCGCAGAGCACAGCGGACCTGCGTCGAGACAACGAGCTTCCAGGGAAGACCACGGCGCGGCGACTTCTGCTCCGAGAAGCTGGGCTCCGGCGGCACACGCCGGCGACCAGAGTGGAGGCGACGGCACCACCGGCACAACCTCAGCTGCTTGGAGTGTGTCTCAAGTTTGGCCAATGCTCGACGAGTTCTTCAAATTTCTCAGACATGCCACGAATTGCTGGCACAGATGCACAGCGCACTCTGCCCGAAGTATCGGTGTGGGGCACCCTGCAGAATCGGAAGAGGGCATTCCACATGGCACTTGGGGCAACAGGTTCAGCTTCCCACCAAAGAGCACGAGCCGAGGGGCCATGACACTGCCGGCGCGGCACTGAGCGGCGTTGGCCCGAGCAGCATGCGAGGTGGATTCAGTGGTTAGACCTATACATTTGCCTCCTTCTGTGCCGTCGGTCTTCTACACCGACGTGGGTTCAACGGACCGGGACGTGACAAATGCGGCTGAAGGCCGAGCTTCACAGGATTTGCAGGTCGCCATGACTCCATGCAACGGAATGGCAGCACATGGCGACACCAGAACAAGAGCCGGAGTGCAAGAAAGACAATGAAGGCTGCATCATCGTAACCTGTGCAACAAGCTTCCCTTACACCTCGATCCTTGACTGCCTCGCTCGGAGTCCCATCCATGTCGGCAATCACCAATTATAAGTGCACAGCATTCTAGTCAGCTGCGGCCTCTTGGTCAAGGTGCCTCAGACGGGAGGGCGAAAAGAAATTGCAAGAGAGCAGGCTGGTCTGTGCGGGCAGTCCAAAGAAGCCCCTCTGCCCCACAAGGAACCTCCTTGCACCAGGAGACCCAAACCGAGCCACAACCAACCCAATGTCAGCCACGGCGCGGACAACATCGGACGGTCCGGCCAGGAGCGAAGTGCCAGTGTCCACAGCCGCCTGTTGAAGGATAGGCGGTGTGAATGTGAATCCACAATCGCGGGGATTGCGGGCAATTGCGGGGATCTTGGGGTTAAATACAGCGGAATGCTGTGGCCCAGCCTGACATTTGCCGTTGCACAGGCCCTGGAGCTTGTCACCAACTGCGACATCCTCCATCTCTACCTCCGTGGTGCACATGGAACTCAAAGCTACACTTAGCAGTCGCTGCATCAAGTTAAGGGCCCGTCCTGCCAGTAGCCGGGGTTCGACACAGGCACCCAAAAGAGCTGGTCTGCCATGCGCTCACTCTTGAACCTTGAAGCTTCTGGAGGCAAGACAAACCCTGCGTACTGAATCTTGCTGGCGGTGTGCTTGAAGCAACATTTCGGTGATGGTGCCGGCCATATTCACACACTGTCAATTTTCCAACCCGACAAAGCCCTTTGAGGCCTTCACTCCCCGAAGGAGATTTCGCTGTCGTCACGATCGTCGGCAGCCAGGAATACAGAAAATAAGTTCTTCTTCAGAACCTTCGCAAGCTCGGAACGCAAGTCGCGACTTAACTGGCACTGCGACGATTTGCGCGATCAGCAACTGGCCACGCCTTGTCTCGAATCATGCAATCCAGCACCTTGTAAGGGGTTGAGGTTTGTGGCGAAACCGGGCAATGTGGGCACCGAAGACCACATGCACGAACTACACACGGGATAGCCAGCGATGCTAAAGCCGCACCTCAAAGCTGTCAGCTCACATAATGTGCTGTCGAAAGAAGGCCTATCTCCGTGAACCGCCACTGTTTTGAGCATTCATACCCCTGGCACGCCGATCCCAAGCAAGACCTCCGAGCCAGCTACGTTGAAGTGCGGCGCCTGCGACATTTGCGGCAGCCCCAACCTCAAAGTCACGACAACGCGCAGCAAAGGCTGGAGCAATTGGCAGCGAGGCTTTCAAAGGCTTTGGATGTTTCTCATCAGTCATGTAGAAATCGGGGTCCCCGACCCCAACTGCTGCAAACATCAAGCTTTCAGCTGTCCGTTGCAATACATTTAGATGGGAACATCGGTCCACCAGACGGGACTATGGTGGAAGGGCAAACAGCCGCAAGTCCAAGCTGAGAATATCTGAGTGGTGCTCACCGTGGTGAAATTGTATCCAAGGCACCACGTACTCCCGTCCGCACGCTGTCACCGGTCGCCCCCAAAACGCTCGGGAGACCAGTCTTGCAACGCTCCTACTGCACAGTAAAAAACCGCACGCAGGAGATACACATTTTGCCTCGTCCCAACTTCAAGGCGGTGGTGCTCTGGACTTTTAAGCTGCCGACCGAACGGCGCGGTTTCGCCGGGTGGCAGGGTGGGGGCCTGCGACCCCCGCTACCATCTTTGGGGCCTGTTCAATACTTCAAGCATGGAACATCGTGGGCCCGCTGCGACGTGTCCTAAGATGCACACGTGCATTTCACATCAACCACCCCAACCAAAAGACTGGCATGATACTGAGATGTTCATTGTCTTTTCGTCGAACCGAACAAAGGCCCTCTGCCAAGTTGTTTTTCCGATGACTCGCCTTCCTTACTTCACAGCCTGCAACACAATGCACAAAACTTGTCTGCAGGCATTGCTGCACTCCGAGCCGTCAGGCAGGTCAGGTCGTGATCCAGCGGGGTCAACGGCAGAGGCAATTACATGGAATACGTTCAGCTGACTCGGTCGGTCGCCTGGTCTGGAAACCATCACGAACCCTTACAGAAACCACTGCGACTTCTCACATGCACGCAAACAACGCTGTGGAGTGCAACTACCTGACTGGCAGGAAAATGCGCAATCCGCTAACCTGCGTCTCCTCCTTACACCCATGTCTCCTCCTTGCACCCATGTACCAAGTTCATCCACCACAGAAATTCAAGCCGTCCGTCTTGGGATTTATGGGGATGAAAACCCGGTAGGTGCCAGGGCACGGAGGGTCATGGACGGTGCCCATTGGCTTTGGAGCACTTGTGCCCCTGCCACATTGCCCCTGTTGTTGCTGTACCACTGCAGTCTTTGCCCTTCCGTGTGCAAAGCTTGGCATCCGGCCCTCACTGAGGGAAAGAAGGCAGCTGACCAACAAGCACAAGTTGAACCTTGCTGGCTGCCTGGAAGACCTGAGGCGGGGTGTTGGTGTAAATTCGCAATGACGCAGCCAAGCTGGCAACGTGGGACGAGCAAAGTTGCGCCTCTTTGAGCTCCCTCGCCGCCAAAGGACGCAAGGCTTCATCACTGCAACCAGCGGCGATTTCATGGTCGCGGGATGGCGGCACTTGCAGCTCCGGATGCAGCTGTCAGCCATCATGGCAAGCACAAGTCAGTGAGCTGGTTGCCCCAGCTGGCACGCGCCACATGCGCGCCACTGACCGGCTAGGGACCAACAGCCAGCCGGCCGGCCGGCCGGCTGGCGACCTTGTGGCGAATCGCTGCGCCGTGTCAGCATGCCCCGGAACCCTGCTTTCCAACACAGACACCACGAAAGTCCTTCTTGGTGGTGCTTCAAGGCGAAGCTGATCAACCCTACGGGGAATGTCGGCAACTGGGAAAAGGAAGCTCGATAAGTTGTTATGCCGCACCCCTGCAATGAAGACGCCGCCGCATCTTCGGCTAGACTGCACGATTTGCAAGAGGTGGTTTCGCGGACAACTTTTCAAGAGTGCTGCGCATAAAGCCCACCCACTGCCACCAGCAACGGCATCGCCAGTGCAAAACACCCCCACTAGTCCACCAGCCTGTGCAAAGGTCTGAGAAGGAGCAGCGACACCATCAGGTTCTGCAGCATCAGATGGGGTGGGAGCCCCAGATGTCTCCTACCTGCCGCCCCGGTATGCTCCGGACGAGCCGCTGCAATGGCGGCAAAAGCATAGCCGCCGACGGGCAAAACGACGTATATAGACTTTGAGCCAAAATGGCCGGATGAGATGCATCAAAGGTGATCTTGACACAAAGACTGCATATTGCTGATTGCTGACTCCTTGACAATTTAGCTGTCGCTTCTTGCAAGCCTTTGTGAAGTTGGGACCGCACGGCTCCATGCAGTGACAATCGAGACTCTGCGGCAAACTCTGTGGAACATGGTTGAACCCAGGCAGTGTCAGAAGGGAATCCAGAGACGCATCTGCGAAGAAAGTAGAATCCAACGATTCCGAACTCCAAGCAACGAGGTGACATGGGAGTAATAATTTAACATGCAAGTCTTCTGCCCTCAGTGGACAACCCGGAAGCCCGCCCAGAGCTCTTGCAGCAGGGCCACCCGAAGATGCCATCGAAGGGTACCAGGCTAAAAGGCTGCTCTGTTTCCTGCAGACAGTACGAGTGTCGATGCAGATGTGGATCGTTTAATGGACATGAATCATGCCATATCAGACGTTAATGAGTTAATGGGTCTTCCTTGCCGGGACCTTTGCACCAGTGGGTGCCTGGATGTACTGACACCTCATCGACAATTCAGGCACCAACTACCAATATCACCTAATATCGACACCTCCTCGGAATTTCAACTCGCTCGTGAACTGCTGCGTGGACAAACAACTTCAACTTGCGAGGTTTTCCTCGCCTGCTCGCAGCCAGCCTCCACACTAAGGAACACTCAAAACCCTGATTTAATGTGTTGGCTGTGCCTCGGTGACCGAGATGAAATTGCCGTGGGTGCAGATGTCGCCGAGGCAAATGTGGTCCTGCCACTGCCACTCACTTCTCGGCTCACGGCTTCGAGCAAGGAAGACAACCAAAGTCTCCATGCCTTCAAAACCCCAAACACTCGCAGGCATGGGACCGGCTTCGATGCTCACAGGGTTTTTTCGGGCACTCCGAAGTCACGAGTTTATAGGCGATTGAAACGCTGATGAAACTGGAAAACCCTCCAGTTCTGGAGGGAGTATCCGCAGCTGACTGCAACGACTGGGCTCTGGGAGTGCAGATGAGCTGTGTGGTTGTCCAAGCACAGCAATTCGATCCCAGCTCCAGGGCAGTTCCCATGAATCTGTAGAGCGCCACCATCGTTGAGGAATTGTGTTTGTGCACAGTAGCTGAATGAACTTGTGCCCTGACACATGCACTTCTCCGCATCGGACTATGCACACATCTTGCATCTACCCATGTCGAATTGTCTACCCGATCTCAACGGTGCGTATGCAAACCCACACACACACACACACACGTCTCAACGTCCATGTGTACGTGAGCTGTAGGTAAGTATGAGCGTGGTTTCGCACGAGGGGCTGCATGTGTACGCCGGCGACCTACACATGCAAGCACACACACCTATGCACGTGTGTCAAGACATCATAGCAACCACGAACCGCAAGATATGGGATCTGTCCCTGTAAACATGGCACCTATCCATCTATCCACCTACCTAGGTACCTGACTATCTGTCCGTCTATCTATCTATCCGTCTGGAAGTCCATCTATCCAGCTGTGCCGCTGTCTCTACCTGCTTTGTTGTCGAGCTGTCTAGGTGTCGATCTATCTATCTATCGGTCTACCTGTCTGTCTGCCTGACCGCCTGCCTGGCTGGCTCTCTGTCTGCCTGCCTGGCTGTCTGGCGGTCTCTGTCCGTGTGTTTCGCTGTCTGTCGATTCGTCTGTCTGCCTGCCTGCCTGCCTGTGTGTCTGTGTCTGTGTGTCTGTATTTGTGTCGGGCTGTCTATCTGTCTGTATGTCTGTCTATCTGTCGATTTGTCTATCAGTCTATCAAAGTTTGTCTGTGTATCTGTCTGTCTGTCTATCTAATCCATCTCTCTGCATGACTCTGCGTAGGTATGGCCGCGTGCTCGTGCGAGCTGCACATGCAGAAAGAACTCCTTGTACACACCTACGTCTGTTCGTGTGCTTGTATGATGTCTGTATGCATGTACATACGGACAGACGGACTGACGGACAGACAGACAGAAAACGGTTACATGCATGTCGTACATGCTGCATGCTGTATAGGCAGACATAGTAGACCGTAACTGCGTGAAAGCTTTCTCCCGCCTTACACCACTTACGCCTGCTTCTACATGAGTGCGCATGAACTGTGTGCAAGCATGCATAGCGGCAGAGTAGGCATCACTTGGCTCATGGTGAGTTCTCGAGCACTGCTACGATATGTGGTGCTCTCTCCGGCAGCCGCGCTGTAAACCATAAAGAATTATGTCACGCCCTGGTGCACCTGAGACTGCGCCAGTGGCCTCCACAGGTGGGGGACCCACGTAACCCGTCTGTACAACGAATATCGGTATTGGGTGTAGTGTGGCGACTCGAGTCGCGAAGGGGTAACGTGGGTGCAAAGAAATTGAAATTCTGAATGTCGAGGTATGGCCAGTCCAAGGGGCTTTGCTGCAATGGCAGTGAGATCTGATGACTGTACTGCTGCGCTTCTAGAAGTCTCGGGCCATCCCTCTGCAGGAAGCTCTCGGACCTCCCTGTTTGAGGCGGGGAAGCTCCTGGCGTTACCCTCTGGGCAAAGCCTCCCCAGCGCTAAAAAAAGGGCTTTCGTGGATGACGCCAGCCGCGCTGCTGGCAGGAAGGCGCAGGGATCAGGCAGGGGGTTTGGGGTGGGGTGCCAAGGCGAAGCCCAACTAGTTGGCCTCAGCTCGTCGCTTGGCCGCCTTGGCCTTCGAGGCGCTCGAGGAGGATGTTGTGCATGGCAAGGATATCCTCCTCACCATCGCTAAGGGTCAGGAAAAAATCATCGTCCAAGTGCATCAGGGCCGGCATCCAAGCCTGAAGGATCTGTAGCTGCGTTGTCAGTTCATTACAGGTTGGGGAATCCAACATCTGCACGGCCTTCATACGGAAGCACTTTTGGCTGCCAGTCACACCACTCGTTGGGTTGGTGTGTTTGAAGGAAATGTCCCGCAGTGCGTTGAACTCGGCCTCGCCGTCTCCGATGCTGACCACGTTCTTCCAGCTCCCTTTTCCATATATTTTGTTGATGACTCGCCTCATCGCCGTCTCTTTCTTCTTGATCGACTGGCCCATGAGGATTACCTCTGCTTCAAACCAAACTCGTCGAAGGGAAGCTGCAATGCATGCATTGCCCCCAACTAATTTCCATTTTTGGGCACGGTTCCCCGAAACAGTGCAGCACAAACCCCGAACACGAATCTGAAAGAACCCTCGCACACCCTCCCACAGGGCTGACAGAATCGCGAGGCGGCCGGATTCCTGTATGTCACCTTTACAAGCGACTCCTCAAAGCCTCACAACTGCAACAAAACAAAAAAGGAGCAAAGCTTGACAAAGCCCTGAAGTTGTCAGCCCAGTCCACTTCTTGCTCGACCAGACCCGGCCCGGAGGCGTGGCGGCACTCGCCGCCGCCTGTTACCCAATACAATCTGCTCTTTCTTCGCTCTCTGTGCTCTCTTCGCTGTGCTGATGGCCTGAAGAGTGTCGCCGCAGCATCACCTCACTGGCGTAGATCACCTCCACACCTGGCCACGCGGGCTTGGGATCAGTGTGAAGCAACAAGGACGGCAATGCCTGGATCTCTTAAGCCAAACCCACCGCAGGTCCTGCTTCTTCCCATGCTTCGGCGAGTTCGGGCATGAAGGCCTTCCTTAGAGCTATTCGTCGGCCAAACTTTTTTCTGACAATGGCTTCGCTGGTAGACCTCGAGGTTTCTTCTATCAGTATGACATCTTCAACACCCACAACATGCAGCGATGGAAAGCTCAAGCTGCAACAGCTCAAGCACTTCGCTAGGAATCTTGGGCATGAATATTGAAGGCGGGGCAAGCGCTAAGGCGTTCATGACTTCTCGCAGTCATGGTCGATTCTTGACTGTATGCCCTGACCCCGCGAATCCAATGTAAGCAAGCTTCATGGTGTTATGCTGCCAGGGCTTCCGGGAGAGCGTGACGCAAACGACCTGTGAGATTTGGGGCATCCGAGGCCTCGGGTTCGGGTCTCCCGAAGGAACATTCTCAGGGCTTCGGGGAAGCCATGCAAAGCAGAGAGAAGACGTGGAGCAGGGCCTGACCCAGGGCAGAGGCGGCGCAGAGAAAAGCCCGGGCTGCTTTGTCCAGCTCCGCCAGGTCACGTGCATCCTCTTCGGACAACTTTGGCGGCTCACCCGAGACCCATTCCCGCTGCCAAGACTTGAACTCGCTCTTTCCAGCAAGCCAGGTGGTAGCGAAGAGCGTGTCGTCCCAGTCGACAAGAATGACTCCTTGCTCCGGGTCCTGCTACAAGTCACACTCGGGAATTAATGTTTCTGGCTGTCTTGTCAGAAGCTCCACACTTGCTCTACAAGTCCTTCCAGAGAGCACTGGATGTATGTGTTCCAGTCTCGTCGATCCTACTAGAAACCTTCCTCACAAGAGCATCCTCGCCGTCCAGATGGAGCAAGCCATCCTCGTCCACTTCGAAATCGTTGGACATGATTTGTGTCACAGCAATCTCATCAAAGTGAGGTGAGGTCGGAGGCGGCTCGGAGCACACGATGGAATCTCTCCTATGATAGGAATGGAAGGGATCAAAGGCTGTGGTGCCCATGCTTCGCTGCAAAGCCTGGATTGGCATGCTTGCGGCAACACGACTCCGGTGTGTGGGTGTCGTGCGCATTGTGCGACTCCGGAGCGCTTGCAGCGGCATGCTTCTCGCACCAAGGTTCGCACATTCGTCCAGTATCCTTACAAGCAGTAGGCTGCAGAGGCCAGAACCAGAAAGAGCCAAGAGCTACAGGATTCTTGCCGAGCATCCTCGGAGCCACCAGTCGGAAGGCCGAGTGGTCGCAGGACTTACGGAGGAGCTCGTCGCTCGGCGCGCCAAGATCATGAGTGGACAGGCTGCTTATAGACTTCTGTTTCGTCATCAGCGGCGGGTCCGGGTCCATCTCTGTCACACAGCATGTCGCCATGGGCAGCCACAAACAGAGGCTCAATATAAAGAGATCAGATGCTTGTGGATATGTGCTTCTTGATGGAGTCACACACAGAGTCTTTTCCTGGCATGGATGTGGAAGTCTGGATTGCCCTTGGTTGATCTCAACCAACCTCAACCAGCTTAGATGCCGTGTGCCTTGCAACAACTACCTCCGAACCGAATTGGCACGCTGCCACAGCAAGCTTGCAAGGGCGAGACGCCGAGCATACCAACACCCTGCCACCTAGATGTAGCTTCTTCTAAGGATGGACACTCGCTGATACTCCATCCGGAAAGCTACCTTTTCAGAGGTGCAGAGCTGGCTTGCTGCAGACCTGCCTTCATGAAGATTCCGCTGATCTCTCCAGTTCCGAAAGTGATGGTGACAACGTCGCGGTCTGAGCACGAGCATTACGAAGTGGGTCCAAGACGTGAGACGGACGTGGGGCCTCCGTTGGGCTTGACCTGCCAAGGACAAGCTTGGCGGGTGCAGCTTGAAGACATGATGCAGCAAAAGAGAGCCCGGAACACTTTTTGAACTGGCTCGGCTCACTGCTTGGAGCTTCTGCCGGATCCGTGCGCCCGAGCGCCCTACGCTACGCTTTTGAGCTCGTTGCTCCGACCTCCGAGCTCCAGGAAAACAGCCAACGCAAGATCCCATCCTCACTGGAGGGGATCCCTTGACGACAGCTCCTACAGGGCGATCAAGGCATCCGAAGTTGGGCCACGCTTCAATGTGGGCGGTCCTGACAGTTGCTGGGTCACTGTCTCGTGTATGGTCCAGCTGCGCCTGGTACCAGTCTTGGACACAGCGTCTAGCAGTCTCGATTGGGCACGTAAACTGATGGACCTCATGATGGAAGGCAAAAAGTCCAGAAGTTTGTGCAATTTAAGCCGAATCCACGCAAGCCTGCTGACGCGCCAAAGAGTCCTGGCAACAGCAGAACAGGTCACGGGTATCAAATTAAGCTCAAAATCCGCCGCTCTTAAGCAAGCTATCGTTCTTGAAAGAAGGTTGGTGCTGTGCAGTTGTCGAAGTCCTGCCCGAAGCCCACAAGACCCCAGTGTGACGATCGCCTAACTCTGGCTCGATGGGCCTTTGCCACTGGTCGCCCAATTATACCTGGCTGTGGCAACTGAAGATCATGATAGCGTTACTGCAGATTGTGCACTCCAGCTTCCCCTCAGAAGCACATGCCGGAAGGGACCCGGTCCCCGCAGCGGGCATGGCACCTCCCTTGGCCCCCCAGGAGGGGTCGGCGGAGCCTGGGCGGGGCGAGTTGGCGAGTTCTGGGAGCAGAGCCCAGGAAGCTGGGACCCTGAGACCCTGGGACCTGGGACCCTGGGACCCCGGCCCCAGGCAGCCCAGTCCGGAGCCCAACCTGAGTGGTCTACGTCTCGAGTCTCGACATCAAAACGTGAGGGCCATCAAATACTGGCGGCTGCCTGCGTTCGGCGTGCCGGTCCAGCCCTGGGCATCAGGGGTCTGCAAAATTTGTCGTCGTGATGAAGTTGGCGATGACAACAAATGGGAGCAAGTAGTGATGTCAGGAGAACAACAGACTTTAGAGCCGAATACGTTGGCAAGCTAGCCGAACCTGGTATGGCAGTGTTATTGGGACTTAGCGGGTGAGAGAACACCCCTTGCATGTCAGCCCTCTCGCATGCGATTGCCATCTCATACTTGACAAGAACAAATTGGCTAAGGCGACAGCTGCAGCATCCTTTGCCGCATTGCGCGGGGCCGGCGGCATGTGCGTCATCCTCAGCAACGTGCCCAGGTCTGTAGCACCCCCACCAGAGCGCTGAAGTCTTCCTGGGAGCCTCGACGTACGGGCCTCCTCAAGCTCAGCGTGGCTCGACCTGCAGATGACGCGGTGCCTAAGGGACTCCGAGAGCCGATCTTCCGGGGCCTGAAGAGCTCGATGTAACGGCCCTGGATCTCCTGGCGCTGCTTCTCATCCTCGAACCACCAGCCCACTGAGCTCACTTCAGGGAGCCCATGTTGTTTCGTACGTAGTTGCCGCCTTGCAACGCCTATGTTGGGTCTGAGTGGTGAGCTAATGCCTTTTGAGCGAGCTGGGAATTGGGAAACACGACGACTGCCTGCCCAAGGAGCATGCAGGCGCGAGCACATACGAGTTCACTGACCAGCGCTTGACAGTTCAACTGTGCATTCGCAAGTCACCAGTGCCATGACGCCAGTAGCAGACGTGTTTCGGGGGGTCCGGCCTCGCCCATGTGCCGGCCGTCAGGCCTCTTCATGAAGGTGATGTCGTGCCTCGGCAGCGAGGTGGTCACCACTCAGGAACCCAGTGAACCTCCGCTCGCTTCTGTAGGGAGACTTGTCCAAAGTCGTCGAGACCGAATAGCAGGAAAGATGACCGAATTTAACCCTTCCCACCCCGACCACGTGGTAAATTTCAGTGACACACCTCGATCTGTTTTGCTGCTTTGGAAAAGCTGCCGGACCAAACCCGCGAAGAACTGGCTGCTGTGACCGGCTTGAACACCGCACCCCATTTTCTCTCGATCCCCAACCTTCAAGATCTCCTCTCTGGCCACGCATGTCTCACTGCTTTTCAGCGCACTAGCGCTTCATTAATGTCTTCAGCTTCCCTGCCTTAGCTCAACATCTGAAACCGCTCCATCGAGAGTCTCTCTTGCTGCCTGCTCTTCCGGCCAGAGTCTGTCTTTTCTTTTTCTTTGTTTCCTCGACTCTTCCTCCTTCCTTCTGTCGCATCATCTCTCTTTCTTTCGCGAGGGTTGTTGTGCACCTCATCTTTCTTCCTTCCTCGAGAAAATTCGAGAAACAATCTGACTGTCGAGACCCGCGACTCAGCCCGCCCCTGCCTAAGTGTTGAGGGAAGCGGCTTTTTGTTGCTCGTCTGGACAGGACCAGGGGTCAACCGGAGTTGTTTAGCTGTCGCTCACGCTCCAAGCCTATACACCAACCGGCTCTCCGTGTGTTCTCAGTTTCTTCGTCTTAGATCACGGACTCGGAACCTTGTTTAGCCGCAACCCCGACGCACAAAGCCACTCTGCACGACAGGAACTATTGCTGAAAGAGCCAAAAGTACCAGCTTCACAATTTTGCGCGCCACTGAGGCAGGATGCTCCCGGATGCTGTAGTCGCTCAGGAAATAGAGAATGTCTTCCACCCCCGCTTGGAAGGGCACCTTTCAAAGAGCTGGGAAGTCTAGGCTTGGGTCTGGGTGGGAAGCGGCCCAGTGGGAGGTGCTGAGGGGGGTTCTACAAGAGATGTATGAATGCTTGTCGAAGGCCAATAACAGCGTGGCGACAAAGTAACTGTAGCTTGGCTTGTGGATCCATGGTACCGTACCAGCGCAGTGCTGGAGCGGACAACTCACTGAGAGCACAGGGCACGTCCCGCGTGCGAACTCCGAGGAGAGAACTCCGCGCATCCGCACCACAGGGCTGTCCTTGCCTCAGCGACACAGCGAGTCGGATCTGTGCGCCGACAGCGTGGGCCGTGGGCCGCTTCCGTAGTGAAACGCTGTTGCAGATGCAAACTTATGCAATCTGGTCAGTGGTATGTCAGCTTCTCCGGAGTGAGGCCTATGTCCTTCGACAACAGCAAAGACTGAGCCGGTCGACCCAAATTGTTGGCGACAGTGTCCAAGTCCTCGCCGTTCTTGTAGCCCTGAGAACTTATGTCGTGAATTCTTCTGTCGGCTGCCGAGCCAGGACATGAAACGTTCGCTGCAAAAGGCGACAGTTCCTCGACAACAAGGACCGTCTTACCAAATTGCGCATGACACAGGCCGCACACTTCCGAGTTCCTGGCTTGGGCAAAAGCACGCCTTGGCGGTCCCGGCAACATGGCGGGAAGCAGAATAGCTTGATTGAGCGAATCATGCGAGTCCGAGTCCCAGGCAAGGTGTCGGAAGTGTGCCGCACCGGATCGCGGTTGGCTGTGCGGAGGGTGTCGCAGAACTGCTCCCACCTTCGTTTGCATGCTACTGCCGGCCCCAATACATCTCCAAGCTGTGCCGTTTTCTGGAAGATCCTAGCCCTGTCCTTTGCCACTCTGTGCGACCTTCTCTTGCTACGATGGAGGAAATGCAGATTTGATGTGTTTTAGGCAATCTTCGAAGCTATCATATACACGTCTGCACGGCTCTCGACTTCAAGTCATGCAGCCGTGCCTGTAACACACGAATGGATTCGACCCCACTGTTATTCTGGCAATGTCACAGCCTTGCAGGAGAGCACACGGCGAGCCCACATTCACCCGAACGTCAATCGCTGGCGATAGCTTGCCGAGGTTGCACAGGATCTGCCCTTTACTCTATTCAGCACTGACACCATGTTGCAAAAGGCCCCCACTTGGCACGTCCGTCCTCGCTGGATCGCTGGATGTGCTTCACCTGCTCGCAGCGCTCGCAGCATGGCGTCCGTCTCTGGTTTGATGCTTGGGTACCAGGGCTTGGCACCACTTCGGTCTCCCGGTTCTGCTGCTCTGTTTTGTAAGCCGCAGTATGAACAGGACGAGATGGAGCCCGAACTTCAGGCAGTCAACAGTAGCTGCACCGCAGTATGGCCAGCCACAATGATATGACTCAATGCAAACGGGAGAGCCACTGAAGCGGCCTCCGCGACCAACGCCTCCTTGTTGATGGCGTCTGCCGTGCCGCCATGCATGCCTCAGATAAAGCCGCAGACCGCTGTGCTTCCCTGCGCTCTGGAAGCCGACCGAAGGTGCGACAGGAAAGCGAGGCCCTGCAAATATGTTACGAAATCCACAAATGCGACAGCCACAGCTGGCAATCCTGCGAAGGCCTTCTGTCTCTCTGAAACCGAATGCACGCCTATGGCCTATGGTGCTCGTGGCAAGAAAGTCCATGCCGAGGCTGCAGCGGAGGAAGGCTTCGTGGTGAACCTTGTAATTCGAGCTGCAGTATAGCAAAAGCTGTCTCATAAGCGCCTGCGGAACCCTTACTCTGAAACTGCACTGCTGTTAACGAGAAACTACGAACAACACCATGAAGCATGCTCTCCCTCACCGCATCTTCACACCGTCACAATCCAAAAACTTCTGGGCTATTGGCCTTGGATTCGTCCCAATCGTCCAACGAGGCCCTGGGGTTTAGGTCTTTGTTCTGGGCAAATGCCATTGGCATGAATCACAAGATTCATAATCCACAGACACGCAATGGAACATTGTTGCTCTTGGCTTCGGGGATCCTTATTGGCTGCTCCGCAACGCAATTGGCTGCTCCGCAACGCAAATGACGCTGTCCCACACAGAAGGTCGCATGAGGGAAACATAAGCTTTCAGACGCTTGATGCAAGAATGCAAGACTACAGGTTAGTCCCGTGACATAAAATGCGAACTTCAACGATCTGCGCTACCCGAAAGCCAAGCCTGAAGAGCTCAATGTACCGGCCGTGTATCTCCTGCTTCTGCTTCTCCTCCGAAGGCCATTGCTGTCATTGCTGTG